AGGGAATGAAGCAAGAGCAAGCGGGCGGCCAAGGCCCGCCTGCGCTGCAGACTAATGCTGCTGCGCCCCCCCTTTCCTTCCAGACAGCCCAGCCCGCACCCCCCTCTCGCCTTGAGCAACACAACCGCAACCTCTAAGCTCGCCACAGCAGCGCCAGCGGCTGGCCCTTTACTCCCTGGAAGACGTCTGCAGCTCTGCACTCCAATCGACAACGAAGCTCCGGGCTTCGGGCTGGGCCATCGAGAGCACCCCGGGAAGAGCACACCGACCAGACTTGATCGCCGAGATGCAAGGCGCACTCGAGCCAAAAGTTTGGCGAATGCTGACCCGGACATGGAACAGCGACCAAGACATGCAGTCATATGTAGCTGGTTGTTCATGTTCAATTACGTAGAATGATTATATAAATATCTCTGCGCAACTGGCAGTGCGAAGTGGGCCATTTGTGGGCCCCTTCGCGGATGTGCAGTGTGCTGCGGCTCGTCGTCTGCCTCACGCTCGGCAGCAGGCGCAGCATTGGCAGTCGCACGTGAGCTGAGCGTCTGTGCTTGTAGTCATTCTCAGATCTGTCATCTTGTGCAGGCCCCTTCTTCTGCGCGCCGCCGCACGAGCGCGCCAGGCAAAGCATCGGTCGGCCAAGCCGCCCACCTGGGGTACAGGGTCGCCAGGGGTTTTTGGGGGGCGGGGTGGGAGAGGTCGGACACCACACCAGTAAACCCTTGAGTTGCGATGTCGAGGATAGACCCTGAGAGGGACTGGCCATGCCAGCGCCCACACCTTTTTTTTGGCACGTCATCTGGGTTGCAAAGCCCTGCCATCCCGAGGAGCTACACATCAGCATGGGGTCCCGCTAGCTGCCGCCCCCTGCACCGCGTTGGTTGTAGTTCTCTGCCCAGAACTTGTCTGTAATCTGCTTGATCTGGCGGGCTTTTGATCAACCCCAGGTGCGGGTGACGCTTAACCAGCGGGCATCAGCTTTCACCAGCGTGGCTGTCACGTGCGTGCTGCAGTGTTCAAGGGAAGCGGCCGGTTGCTGGCATAGGGCCGAAGAATGGATGTGTGTGGGTTTTGGATTGCCGTTGGTCAGCATCAATTGCTGGCATGACTTGACATTTGAGCAGAGGCATGTCTGACCACTCCTTTTCACATTCTCCGGGCCAGTTGGTTGTTGGAGCCAGTCCGCCTCGCGACTGCGTGCACTGCAAGGGCCTACATAAACGCTGGGGAAGAGACACATCAGGCATCAGCAAGAGCAGATGCGCGCAAATTGAGGTGGTTCAACCCAACCTAGCTGGCATTAAACAGCAAGCAAACACAAACAGCGCGAGGGGCCAGATGCAAGCAACGAAGTGCGCGGCCAGCCGCTCTCAATGGCCCTCTCGGCTGTTCATGGTTCCCGCAAGCAAATCGTGATGCAAGGCACGGCTAGCATGCACAATGGCATACGGCCGTGTTGTGCCTGGCCTGCGCATGAGCCAGGTGAGCATCCAAGAGCCACCAGCCAAGAGCAAACCCCCGCGGCAGAGCATCCATCCACTTAACGCGCTACACGAACATGTCTCCCTGCAGGATGCCCCAAGGGGGGATCATTCCACAGGACGCGCGCATGCGTCCGCCCCTCAACGCCCCACTGACAGCATGTTGCCTGGGCCCAGCCTTGAAGCCCAACTCAACCCGCCGCTGTGTCCATGTGGCTCGGCGAGGCGACCCCCAGCCGGCCGTTGAAGTTCAGGGAGGCGAGGCTTGCAGTCTTTGCTTGGCGGGGCCGGCTCTCGTCCAGTACGGCCTCCAGCAGCCTGAACAGCGGCTGCGGCACCGGCACGCAGATCTTGCCCCCCACCAGGGGCACCATTGCAGGCACCCCGAGCCCCGCAGCCGCCAGCACCTCCGCCGTAGGCGCCGGCAGCGCGGGGATGGGGTTGCCAGCCGCAGCGCTGGCTTTCACGGCCGCGGCAATGCCGATGAGCGCCAAAGGCACCAAGCGCCCAAGGGCGCACGCCTTGTTCGCCTGCAGCGGCTGCAGCCCTGGCTGCTGCTGCTGCTGCTGCTGCTGCTGCTGCTGCTGCTGCTGCTGCTGCTGCTGCTGCTGCTGCTGTTGCTCCCGCCTCTGAAAAGTCTCCTGCAGCTTTACCAGCTGCTCGTTGTCAAAGCCACACTGGACAATCAGCTGCATCGGGGGCATGCCGCCGTGCCGCACATTCTTGCCTTCTCCGCTGTTGGACAGCCTGCCGCTGTCCTGTGCCGCAAACCGCGCCACACCTTTCCTGCCGGAGTGTCCCTTCAGCATCTCCTTTGCGTCGGCATCACTGCGCGGCGGCGAGAGGGTGGCCACAGCTGGGACACCGTCCATCAAGACAACCACCGCAGCAACGTTGCTGTGCTTGTTGCTGAAGCTCACATCCCACAGTCGGCGCGCCGGCTGCTGGGCAGCCGCTGCCGCGCCCTCCGCCACGCCTGCTGGCTGCACCGCCCTGTGTGACTCCAGCATAGGCACCGCCAATGGCTGGCCGCCGGGCCGCTGCACGCACAGGTGGCCCAGCAGCCACCGCGACGCGTTAATGATCACGTCCAGCGGGTACTCCGGCAGCAGCGACAGCAGCACGTCGAAAATGTCTCGGCTGCGCGGTGGCTCCAGCAGCTGAAAGCCGTCCCTGAACATGGCAGCGCAATTGCTCAGGCCCTCGCCAAGCGCGTCTATGGCGGCGGCGGTGGGCGGCCATGCCGGCGGGGCTGGCTGCGGGGGTTCGACCTCAATGGCTAGGTGCTGCTGCTGCAGCAGCGCGCCCTGATGCTCCGGCGCGCCGCCTGCTGCGGCACTCCCTGCTGCGTGCGGCGCGTCAAGCGGCTGCCCTGCCGCCGGTGGTGCCGGCGACGCCTTCGTCTCCTCGGCAGAGTCGTCGGCATCGCAGTACGGCTCGCGCCGCACGCCGCACCAGCCAAACAGGCCCGGCGTGGGGC